CCAGGAAGATAGCCCATACATACATACATCCTATATCCCAATATGGAATATTCCACATCATTGAACCACATCTAGAAACCATGGTTCATATTAGGAAGATGGGATTAGCCCAGCAAGATCACGAGATCACCTCGCCGAGTGCCGGGCCCGGACGCTGTCGCCCTTGCGAAAGCAGCGCAGTAAACGAACCACGTCCTGCGGCGTTGCTTAAAAGCAACGGCAGGCTTCAACTTCGGGGATATCAATGGTGGATTTACCCCCCATTTATGGACATAATGGGTATGTGTATATATATATATATGTATTGTATGTATTGTATGTATTGTATGTATTGTATGTATTGTATGTATTGTATGTATTGTATGTATTGTATGTATTGTATGTATTGTATGTATTGTATGTATTGTATGTATTGTATGTATTGTATGTATTGTATGTATTGTATGTATGTATGTATGGATGGTATGTATGTATGTATGTATGGATGGATGGATGGATGGATGGATTTGTATGTATGAATGAATGAATGAATGTATGAATGTATGAATGTATGAATGTATGAATGTATGAATGTATGAATGAATGAATGAATGTATGAATGTATGAATGTATCTGTGTATCTGTGTATCTGTGTATCTGTGTATCTGTGTACCTGTGTACCTGTGTACCTGTGTATCTGTGTATCTGTGTATCTGTGTATCTGTGTATCTGTGTATCTGTGTATCTGTGTATCTGTGTATCTGTGTATCTGTGTATCTGTGTATCTGTGTATCTGTGTATCTGTGTATCTGTGCATCTGTGCATCTGTGCATCTGCGTATCTGTGTACGTGTGTACGTGTGTACGTGTGTACGTGTGTACGTATGTACGTATGTACGTATGTACGTATCTATGTATCTATGTATCTATGTATCTATGTATCTATGTATGTATGTATGTATGTATGTATCTATCTATGTATGTCTGTATGTCTGTATGTGTGTATGTGTGTATGTATGTAAGTATGTAAGTATGTAAGTATGTAAGTATGTAAGTATGTACGTACGTACGTACGTACGTACGTACGTATGTATGTATAATGAGGATAGTTATAAGATATACAATGGATATAACCACCAATTTTGCCTCAAAATTAAAGCGTTAAACCATGTTAACTCCAAATAATTGTAGTAAGTATATTGTAGCGTTTGCATGGCCTTCTTGATAGGGAATCTGATGATTGACAAGTGGACTTCACGGAACGCTTCAAGATTTGTTTCCGCAGAATCCGTAGAAATTCGAGGAAATTCTGAGGGACTTTGGAAGGGTCTGAGTCAAAGAGTGGTGATTCTAGAGTCGGAAAAGGCCATAAATGTCACATATAGGTCAAAAGGTTACCAAATCTTGTTTGAGCTTGAAGACTTAGTGACTAAAGTGTTTGACTCACAAGTCGTCACCCACAAGTGGTTTTTGTTTTGCAGCTGTCTGTCACCTGCCTCTTGTTTTTTCTTGTCCCCAATCCACTTCGCTATCAGGGTCAAAACCTGACGGAGCATGGACGGAGCAAAAAATTGCCACGCGCCGCTAGAGATCGGAACCGGCCTCAGCCTCCGAAGCTATGGGCAAGTCATCCTGGCAAAAGCTGCACAGGTCAGCTTTGTGGAAAATGTTACGAAATTGAAGAAGAGATATACGTGTAGTATATATATATATATTTATATATTAATTTAATATAATATATTAATATATAATAGTTATAAGATTGCACAGCATCTACAGCTTACACCTTTTCAAAGCCACGCTGCAGGCAACTGGGGATCATCCCATCCAGTCACAGGCTGCGTCCGGCGTCCGGCTGCACGGCTCCTGCCGCAAGATGCTCTCAACGAGGCTCACGGGAAGTTCCTCCCACCTGAACCAGCGGATGCAGCGAAGCGATGTTTTTATGGTTGAAGGTCATCATGATATCGATATCATCATGTCGGAATTCAAAGAACTCAAAGAAAATCGGGTCTTAGGATCAATATATGATCAATATGATCAATGAGAAACTGATCCCTTAATTGGAAGATATTGGATATTGGAAATCTCTAAAGCTTTTTTTGCATCCCTTAAGATCACCTGGGGTCATCGGTGATGGCGCAAAGGTTCCGCCGCAAAAGCATGGCGCTCATCAGCTGATCCTGACATCAGGAGATCATGATCATCGGAATCTAAACATGGAAAAAATGGTGGCTATTAAAAAGAAACAAAAATTTATAGGCTACAATCACATAATATAACGATATATTTTATTATAATCATCTTAATCAGGCTATAATGGATATAACATGATATAACTTGCTATCACTGATATAACCACCAATATGGATCTCGGCATTTCTATATCTTGGCAGCTTGGCAGTCCAGAAAGTTGCTTAGCAACCGCCTAGAACCGAAGTTCTTGCGCATCAACGCTGGTAGTTTGATGCCATACAGATTGGATCATCATCCCAACTATTGGGGAAAATAAAACATGTTCCAGTCACCACCAACCAGATATATGGTTATTCCAATTATTAACCATAGATTAACCATAGATGTTACCCCAGATTGTTGGAGCATTGATTGGGATGATTTTTACAGGAAATCTACCAGAAACCATGTGAAGCCATGTGAACCCACGAGACGCTGGTAGTTTGTCTGAAAATCGGGTACCAAAATCAAAAGATTTTATACGGATGTTTCATCATTTTCCCTGAAAAAAGATATGTAAGATAGTCTAAAATTGCCATTTGCATGGCTATACCTCATTTCCAGACACCCAATTTTTTTTCAAATATCACATTGATTCTGCATCCCCTTCATGTACATTGATATCCACTCATACCGCAGTATACTATCCCCATAAATTTATACCAAATATATTATGGCTTCCTCACGCTGATCTTTTTGTGTCTCGCAGCTTTCCGCGTTCTTCGCCAGTGTCTTTTTTTGGGTCCGCTCGGGGTTGTGGGGTCCGGCCACAAGCATCAGCTCATCAGCAATAGGATTTGGATTGGTTAGGCTGAAAACCAATCCAAATTTGGGCTTTTGATGGTTCTATAAGTTCTATAATTATAATTTGATGATGTATAAATTGATGGTTTTATAATTCTAATTTTGGATTTGGATTATACTCCCAAATTTGATGGTTCTATAAGTTCTATAATCAGCTTCTGTGCTAAAATGTGGTCATTTTGATGATGTATCCCAATTTCAGATACACTCATAGAAGCTAAAGCATCGAAACCAAAATTCCACATGTTCGTGTACCCTCTGGTAATTTAACATAGCTATTGAAAATGGCCATTGAAATAGTGAGTTGTCCCATTAAAAATTGTTATTTTCCATAGTTTTTTGTATGTTTACCAGAGGATAATTCTCTCACGCTAGTGACCCTCCAAGATGCAGAGGTGTTCGAATCCCACAGCGCTGCCACTGCTACAGGCACACCAAACAGGCATGCGAGGAGCGCCCTTTTTGCACCGTGATTTAAAACACACATCACATGGTTGGAACTATACATGTATATGATGGTGTCTGATTGGTATCCCAAAATATATATATATATATATTATATATATATTGTATCACATCACACCATGATATTATATGCACATCACCCCATACAAGAGGTGTCTGATTTGGAACAGAATGTCCACAATGCAGGCTGTTTCCTCGCATCCCCTGTCTGACGGCTGGTCAGTCAGCAGCACTTTCTTTGTCTGCGGTTATCCATGGCGGTTATGGCCAGCGCAGCGCTGGTTTTTTGGGTCCAAAAATAGGCCCCAAAGTTGGGCCCCGAGTTTATGGGAATGGACCCAGCAAATTCCGATATGACGTATCCCAGATATTAAAAACTAGGGACCGTTGGCCAAATTTTGGGAAATTTGAAGTTGGCCAATTTGATTTTGAATTGATCCCCTTTAGAAAACAATTTTAAAATATTTAAAAATGAAGGTCCCATTTGAGGGTTTCACCCCCTAATAATAAAAACTATAGTCAATACCAGGGTGTTTTTTATTGGGGTCCGTCCTTTCCAATCGAACATTTTAGTTTTTCTTTAGGTTTTAATTTAATATTTGGGGAACCTTCGAAAATCCAAATTCTTGGCAATATTCTAATTAGATTTCAAAAAGGGATTCAATATGATTCAATTGATTTTTAAATAGAAAAGATTGTTTGTTTGTTTTTTAACTAATGTCTTTAATTTAGTATTAGGGGGAAGCTTGGCACCCTAATATCAAATACCCCCTAATTTAATACTAAAAACTCCACAGGTGTCTATTATGGGGGGCGGTTTACTATTAGGGTGACGGGATTTACAACAAAAAACATATTTTTGAGCATAAAAATGACCAATTTCGCATGCTTTTCGGATCCCACATTTTTGGAAACCATGGCAAACCCTCAAATGTCAACAACTTTGAGTTACACCCTACAAGTACCGACAAGGCAAGCACTGCACCGCTCGAGGCTACCCGGACCCTGTGCCCCACAGCTGTTTTTGGGGCACGACAGGAATCGGTTGCTGTCCCTGCCGCCGTCTGCCCTAAAGGAGCAGATGTTACGATGTACAATGATGTTCATAACACAGTCAACGTGTGCTGAATTTGGCGGTGCTGATTGGGACGTGTCTTTTGTTCACTTCGAAAAACCGAGAAATGAATAGAAATTCTCTGAATTGTCACTCACTCTGTGTTTTTTTTGAGCCAGAACTGAACGAAAACGGCACGGAAAAGGATCCGTTTGGCAGAGAAAACAACACGCCCACGGCGTGGCTCTCAGCTGGGACCTTTGCCACCAGGTACAATCTCCAAGCAGACCACCTGAACTTGGTCGCCCAATGAACAAATGAAACAGGGAGGATCAGGGAGGATCAGGGAGGATCAGGGAGGCATGAAACCAAAAGAAACCAACCAAATTGTAGAAAAAATATGAAGGTTTGGGAGTACGCGGATTGACAAGCTAACCAAAGGTATCTTTCATATGGGGCCTAGATCAAGCGCTCTGAATCAAGCGCTCTTTGATTTCGGCCCTTCCTGGCTTCGACGACTGCCCACCAGGGTTCCACCAGGTCCGAGGCACAAAAGTTTGTGACGCTTCGTCCAGAACTTCCTCGAGTCGCTTCGCTTCGACAGAAAATTGGAGACCAGTGACATCCAGTGACCAGGACAACAGATTCCAACACTCGATTCACTGCTCACCAAAGATTCCAACAGATTCCAACAGATTCCAAACGACTATGCCATTGCATCTGCCTCGAATCTCAATTCAATTCTGGGATGCTTGTTTTAGCCCATCAGATAGCATTCTGCTGCAGCCGCGCTCCAACTGCCAAGTTTCCGTGAAGTCCCAGATATGTTCATCTTTGGTGGGCCCCTCCTGGCATCGATAAACAAAATTCACAGCTGCGCCGCGTTGTTGAAAACACCGAACCGCGGCGCCTCGAGACCTGTGACGGCACTCTGCGAGAAGTTGTGGTATCTCGGCCCGCGGGGCCCAACAGTTTTGCTGCCACTGCCGATGGAAATTCGAAATGACACCCACCTGAGCCAGTGGGGACGGGATGGTGGGAGGGTTTGAGCTGTAACTTTGCCGCAGCCATGACTTATATGATGTCTTGTGATTACTATTCTTATTGCATCACTGTAGTATGATCAATGATCATCATGATCATCATGGATCATTGCTATCAATGATCATTAATTATCATATACATACCATTACATACCATTCCTATTGGCAACTACTGGTGTTTAATTATCATGGCTAACTCTTTTTGTTTTCCTACACGTTTACCAGCCATGGCCATTGAAGTCGCGCCAAGAGACGCCACGGATTCTTCCAACTCGGCTTCGCATTTGATTTGCACATAACCTTTCGACAGGGCAGCGCCACCGAAGGGAACCAGAGGGAACTGGACGGGATTTGACGGCGAAAATCACACGGAAGCCGGCCTCTTCCTTTGGACTTCCTCCAGCGCTTGAACAGAGCATGTGCAAAAATTGTATGCGCATTGCGTGCATCTGCCATGCGTGGGAATTCTAGTGAAGTACTGTATTGTCCTTGTCCATGACTTGGGCATGGATCGCAGGAAGGTATCCCAGTTTTGGGAGACAAATATTTAGAGTTGCCACAGTATGTGGCTCTTTGAACCTTGAATTTGAAGCCTTGCCTATCTATTTGTGGAGAAAATCACAACTCTTACAGTATGAGGTCCTGAAGCAAGAGCCACCCTTGCCCTCATTGACCATCTCAGGATAGATCATCATCTTGAACCTCAGCCATGCTGCTGGCTGCTATGGCTGCTATGCCAGCCATGTGCCTCCAGTCAAACTTCCAGTCGCAGTGACGACTGCCAAGACACGTCACAGAGGGGAACTTGTGGCCGAAGGAAAGTTCAAAGGGTGGAGACACCTCGCGATGCTGTCCACTGATCTGATGGTGTGTCTGAGAAAGGGTTGTATAACCCATAGGATCCATGTATGCTATATATGGTAACATGGATCCCATCAATATACCCCCAATGTTAGCATATATACCATACATGGATCCTATGGGTAATGTTGGAAAAACCCTCGAGTCATAGCCATTTTGAATGCCATTTCGATAGGGAAAATGATGAAAATGATGATTGATCACTGGATTTGGCTGTACACTATTTCAAACAAAGCCATCTGATGGTGGGCATGGAGATTTTTGTAGCACGACGTGCTTCTGACGTACTCAACTGACAGTACAGTACATGGTACATACAAGTATGATCAAGTATGTCAGTTGAGGGCCTCAAACCATCCAAAACCATCCAAAACCCTCCGAAACCATACAAACATGATCAAACATGCCATAAATCATCAGAAATCCCCTATAAATCATGAATCATCATGCCATAAATCATCATAATTGTTATAAATCATCATAAATTTGCCATAAATCCCCATAATTAGATCATCATGAAACCATCCAAACATGCCATAAATCACCATCAGTCAAATCCCCCATGGTTAAATCTCCAAACTCATCAACGGGGCAGCGCAGCGATATCAGGCGATGCAGCCAGGCGACGGTTTGCTTTTCATTGCCGCGGAGCTTGCGACCGTCAACGGTCCAATGCCTTGGCTCTGCAAGGCAGCAGAGATGGTTTGAAAAAACCATGGCTTTTTTCGACACACCAACAAAAACCGGGGAGAAAAACTGTCTGGTATCATAAATCTATAATATGCTATGATCTGTGGTTTGAAAGCCATTTTTTTGAAATTGCCTAGGCCGACTGTTCTAAACCTGTCTAAAATAAATAGCTTCTCTAATCTCGAATGAAGTGATTGCGAAGGTCCAGTGTCTTCGTTCCGCCAACAATACTACTCAGATTTCAAATCTTTCACATTTTATATATTGATATCATTTTTTTTCACCCCACAAGCCCTCCAAATCGGTCCTTGTGTTGCAAATATGTGGGCTAAAAATCCAGGTGCTGCCCAGATGCACGCGGAAGAAACCGCTTTTTACGCCTCGGTTCGATGCCACGATGCCAAAGAGTGGGATAACCATCGGAAAATGGTGGTTTTTCACATGTTTTAAGCCTCAACAAATCTGGATTTTTCATGGGATTTCCATGGGAATATTCATGGAATATTCATATGAATAGATTGACACCCCTGTCATCTTTGGGGATTCACATGGATTCACTTAGCTAAACAGTTTCCCTCTGAGTGTCCTGGCTAAAGGCTCTGGTAAGTGTCTGTGGCTGTGGAACCGTCGGTGGCCCTGGCAGGATGTGGATGCTGTTGAAAATACCATCCCATAAGATCCATGGTGCTGCTATATATGGTGTGCCATGGATCCCATCAAGAAATACCCCCTTTATGCAAACGCATATATATATATATATATCATATATGCCAGCACCATGGATGATATGGGCTTAGGGTTTTCCCATGTTTTTCAACAGCACCGGCCCACTGAAAAAAAACAAATTAGTGCCTTGCGGTAGTGGCGACGGCACCGTCGCAGACGTCACCTCGCCGGAATCATCATGGTGGTGAAGATTGCTAAGCACTTTTTGGTAAACCATGGTGTGGTAAACCAACCAGAAAACATTGGTAAACCAACCATTTAAGATCATCCCATAATCATGGATATTTAACTGGATATTTAACTGGATATTTCTATGCCCAATTTTCCAACCAGTTTTTTGAAACGTCGGGTTAAACGTATGGCGGGGTTACCACATGACATGGATCCAGAAATCCACCATAGGCCCAGACCGTAACGGTGTTCTGCGGCATGGGTCCAGCAGGGACTGGTGCTGCTGCTGGCCACCTTTCAACCAGTCGTGACCAGCCACCCATAGTGGGAATTAAGGCACTAGCACATAAGGGGTATGAATAATCCCCAATATACCATCCAACATCATCCAACTATTGGCCATGTTGATAATATCCAATTAATATAAGGGGTATTCTAATCCCCAATCAAATGGCCAGACATTTGGAGAGGTTTTGAGCTCGGTTCAAGCAGAACCGAGTTCATTCTCCATCATTCTTAAACAGAACTAATGCTGTTTAGATTTCTTTAGTCATGATAATTCCTCTAAAATGTTGATTCATAGAATGATAAGTGCTCATCTAAAGATGATTCTCTAATTGGATGGCTCAGGGAAATGAGAATCTCTAATTGGATGAAGGGCTAATAGTTAGTCATGATTTCTTTAGTCATGATAATTCATTCTCATCCAATTCTCACTATAATTTCCCTAAAAAATTGATTGAAGCCAACCATATGTCCCAGAATCTGTCCATATCACTGCCTCAAAACAATCGTAAGAATGGGATCATTACATTATATACATATTATAATAACAGTTATTATTATTATTATAAATAGATCGATTATATATACATGATTGTCATTATGGTTACATGATTGTCGTTATCTACTATTATGATTATATAATGTCATTATATATATGTATGTCATGATGACAATAGTGTATTATTATAAATCTGTTATATATCAAACTATTCACAATTATTCTTTTTTATATATATATATTATTGTCAGTGTCTATATAGTTCTCATCTTATTCTCATTCTACCCTCTGGTAAACTAACATAGCTATTGAAAATGGCCATTTATAGTGAGTTTTCCCATTAAAAATGGTGATTTTCCATAGTTATGTTAGTTTACCAGAGGGTAATTTCCCTAAAAATCCCCCGGGATCACCGGTGGTGCCGGGCTCCGCCTTGCTCCTCGGTCCGGCTGCCGCACCGGCAATTCGGGCACCGGGCCCGGGCCCGGGGGAGCGGTCGCGCCATAGCCCGAAGTCATGGCACCGGGGGCACCTCCAATGGCAGGGACCCAAGTGCCATGGCATGGGAAGATGAGAAGTAGCTACAGTTATGGTCATTTATCAGTTATAACTGTAGAAGATATATGACCATTTATAACAGCTATGGGATTATACATTCTATAAATGGTCATTATCAGTTATGGTTATAAGTACTGAACTAACCCCATTTATAGAATGTATAATCCCAATTATAACCATTACAAATAATTCAATGGATTGGTTTTGTTGGGGGAAATCTACACCGGAAACCCATGGGTGTTTACCAGCAAATATAATATATCGGGCTTTCCGGTTAACATTTTCCCATCATCCATTTCTATGAGAGAAGTGGCTAGGAAATATAGCTATTAAATGGTGACATAAGTTCTATGTGTAAATAGAAACTATAGGAATAGGAAATATAGCTATAACTTCCCTGGTGGTGATAAATGGAAGTTGTGGGAAAATGAGAAAAAGATAGCTAAGAAATATAGTTATTTATAATTAGCTAGAAAAAAAGAATAGAAATTATTTATAATTTATAGCTGGGAAGATATGAAAAAAATGAGCATATTATGCGAAAATCGATCTTTTAATGGAGGTTCTAAGAGGAAAAATCATCTATAAATGAAGGATATTCAATTGCCACCTTTGATTACCTGAGGCAAATAGATGTTCCAAGAATTGGGATATGGTGTTTGAATGTGTTTCTAATTTCAGGCGAAAATCGTGTGCCAAAAAATGGTGGCTACAGAAATGGGATATCGATATCAATACTCAACATTACTCAACTAGGATTTGTTTGGTTGTTCTGCTTTGGGGGTACCAGCATTCGGTGACCCTCTTTATAGGAAAAATATGAAATAGTAACCAAACATTTACCCTCTGGTAAACATACAAAACTATGGAAAATCACCATAGAAATAGTGAATTTTCCCCCCCAAAAAAAAAGGTGATTGTCCATAGTTTTTTTGTATGTTTACCAGGCCGGGTTTCATTGGATGATTTTCCCAGCGAACAAAAGCTCCCAGCCATGTTTGATGGCACCTCCGGTATGAAGCAATTCTATTGATATTCCATTAATATCCAAGTATATCCCCAAAAAATACCAGATTGTTAAATAGTTAGCCAAGAACCACTATTAATCGTTATTCATTATTATCAATTATTAACCATTATTGACCACTATTAATCATTATGTTAACAATTACCCTCTGGTAATTTAACATAACTATGGAAAATCACCATTTTCTAGCTGGAAAATCCACTATTTCGACGGGGCCATGTTCAATAACTTTTTGTATGTTTACCAGAAGGTATATACCACATTAAATCCCGTTAAACCACCATAAAACCCCATTAAATCCCATTAAATCCCATTAAACCACCATAAAACCCCATTAAATCCCATTAAATATAGGTATTAACCACTAACCACCCTCATCTTAACACTTAAAGGGCCGCACCTTGACCCATCGGCGCCATGGCCACTGGCATTAGTACCATCCTGCCGCGATCGGCGATCGACTTGGGTAAAACTTACCAGGTTTTTTTCCCCAGATGCGACATGTTTGTACCAGGTTTTTTTACCAGGTTTTTACCAGGTTTTTACCAGGTTTTTGAACAGGTTTTTTCCCCAGGTTTTCTTGTAAAACCCACATTATAATTTTTGGGTTTCTCTGAAAATGGTGGGGAAAAAAAACTCCCCTCCTATAATGATTTAGATAGGATGATGATGACTGTCGTGTTTTGGGGGTACCCTATTTTCAGACAAACCTATATAAATAATGTGTATATATACATATAACTCTATAACCCAGGATAAATAGTTGACCATTATTGTCATAGTCTAACCCCATGAAAACATCATGGCTTTTGCCCATCAAAAGCCATGAAAATCCGCCATTTCAATCCAAGTTGCTGCATCGGCATCTGCCCCTGAGGCATTTGCCCCTGGGGCATCTGCGGCATCTGCGAGGCCATCTGCCCCTGTTGGAGCATCTGTCCTTCGGTTGCATGAAACAGTCACATAACCATGGGGAACGGGCGACATCCAACCATGAACCGAATCGAATTGGGGGTTAAAAAAGATTAAAAAAGTTGATTTACCCATTAATAGCATGGTGATTTTCCATAGTTATGTGAACGTATGTTTACTATTTGGGGCATGACCCCCAGTTATAGTTGGTTACTGGGATTGCCTATGGCATGAAAATCACCATCACCCAAGATCCACATCGAATCACCCAGAATCCTTGTGGCATCTGCTGCAGCACTTGCTGAGGCTGTGGATGCTGCAAAGAATCAGCGGGCATGGCTGCCTGGCAGTGGATTTATGATAAATACATGATGAGAATTGAAATTTATAGGAATTTACCCCATATTCTTTATGATAATTTCACCTGTTCGATTTATGGGAATTTACCCCATATTCTTTATGATAATTTCACCTGTTCGATTTATGGGAATTTACCCCATATTCTTTATGATAATTTCACCTGTTCGATTTATGGGAATTTACCCCATATTCTTTATGATAATTTCACCTGTTCGATTTATGGTTTACCCCATGATTAATTTACCCCTTTATGATAATTTCACGTTGTTTCGATTTATGGGAATTTACCCCATATTCTTTATGATAATTTTCACCTGTTCGATTTATGGGAATTTACACCTATTCTTTATGATAATTTCACCTGTTCGATTTATGGGAATTTACCCCATATTCTTTATGATAATTTCACCTGTTCGATTTATGGGATAACCCCATGTTCGATTTATGGGAATTTACCCCATATTCTTTATGATAATTTCACCTGTTCGATTTATGGGAATTTACCCCATATTCTTTATGATAATTTCACCTGTTCGATTTATGGGAATTTACCCCATATTCTTTATGATAATTTCGCCTGTTCGATTTATGGGAATTTACCCCATATTCTTTATGATAATTTCACCTGTTCGATTTATGGGAATTTACCCCATATTCTTTATGATAATTTCACCTGTTCGATTTATGGGAATTTACCCCATATTCTTTATGATAATTTCACCTGTTCGATTTATGGGAATTTACCCCATATTCTTTATGATAATTTCACCTGTTCGATTTATGGGAATTTACCCCATATTCTTTATGATAATTTCGCCTGTTCGATTTATGGGAATTTACCCCATATTCTTTATGATAATTTCACCTGTTCGATTTATGGGAATTTACCCCATATTCTTTATGATAATTTCACCTGTTCGATTTATGGGAATTTACCCCATATTCTTTATGATAATTTCACCTGTTCGATTTATGGGAATTTACCCCATATTCATGATAATTTCTGTTCGATTTATGGGAATACCCCATATTCTTATGATAATTTCACTGTTCGATTTATGGGAATTTACCCCATTTATTCTTTATGATAATTTCACCCTGTTCGATTTATGGGAATTTACCCCATATTCTTTATGATAATTTCACCTGTTCGATTTATGGGAATTTACCCCATATTCTTTATGATAATTTCACCTGTTCGATTTATGGGAATTTACCCCATATTCTTTATGATAATTTCACCTGTTCGATTTATGGGAATTTACCCATATTCGAGAACAGAAAGCTAATGATAAGGAACATGAAACATGATAAATACATGATAACGGGCAAAGACAGAGTCAGTCACCCGAGTCAGCCCCAAACGTCCGAGTCAGGAACCCCATAGGACAAAGTCAGTCACAGAGGATGCAGGGAAACCAGGAAGAGGAGACAGAGAGTCAGCAACCGAGAGTCAGTCACCCCTCGGAAGCCGGGAGGAGGGTCAAGGAACCCGGAGGAAAACAGAAAGTCAACAACAAAGAGTCAGTCACGACTGAAAGCTATCTATCTATCTGTCTGTCTGTCTATCTATCTGTCTGTCTGTCTATCTGTCTGTCTGTCTATCTGTCTATCTGTCTATCTGTCTATCTGTCTATCTGTCTATCTATCTATCGATCTATCGATCTATCTATCTATCTATCTATCGATCTATCGATCTATCTATCTATCTATCTATCTATCTAGGAACCCATGGGAACATGGAAGAACGGAACGTCAACGACAAAGAGTCCCTCAAGAAACCTTAACGCAACCCTAAAGAAACCCCAAAGCAACACTAAGTAAAGCCTAAACCAAGCTCAAAGAAATCCTAAACCAACCCTAAGCCAACCCTAAGTATACCCCAACCAGCGCTAAAACAAACCCCAAACAAACCCTTACGAAACAATAATTCAACCCTAAACCAAACCAAAAGAAACCCCAAACCAAGACTACATAAACCCTAAAACAAACCGTACAGAAAACCTAAACCAACCCTCAAGCAAACCCTGCGAAACCCGAAGTTCACCTTAAACCAAACCTAAATAAACCCTAAACCAAGCCAAAAAAAAACAAAACCAACACTAAACCCTAAAAAGACCCTAAAACAAACCTTGACGAAACCCGACATTAACCATTAACCCGAAACTAACCTCAAATAAAACCTAAACCAAGCCTGACTATACCCTAAACCAAGCCGAAATCAACCCTAATCCAACATTCGCACAAACCCTGATGAAACATGATGAAACCCTAACTTAACTTTAAACCAACCCTAAAAACCCTAAACCAGGCCTAAATAAACCTCAAACCAACGCTAAGTAAACCCTAAATAGACCCTAAACCAAACCTTGACGAAACGCCACATTAGCCCTAAACCAACCCTACGTAAAACCTAAATCAAGCCTGAATATACCCTAAACCAAGCCTAAATAAACCCTAAACCAACCCTAAATGAACCCTAAACCAACCTTAAAACAAATCCTGACGAAACCCATCATTACCCTAAACCAACCCTTTAAAAACCCTAAACCAAGCCTAAATAAACCTCAAACCAACACTAAGTCAACCCTAAATATATACCCTAAAACGAACCATGAGGAAACCCTGCAGAAACCGTAAACCAACCCTAAACCCCACCCTAAATAGACCCCGATACATGGCCTACGAGGCACGCCGCAGGGCAGTCACCCCGCGCCCCCAGTGGGGCTGTGGAGGGTGACTGACCCCCCCCCCAAAAAAAAAAAGCGATGAACCGCTTCCACGGAGCCCGGTGGAGGCATCGTTCTGGGAACCCAAATCCCAGCCTGGTAGGATGGCATGTGGCCAGTTCCTGTCGGAATCTGACTCAGCTAATCCGAAGTCCATCAACTCGACGTTTTTGGAAAAAAACATGGAAGACGCGGTGGATGTTTCATGATTTGGTCTTTCGCCACCCCTCTGAAAAATGATGGACTTCGTCAGCTGGGATGATGAAATTCCATGAAATTCCCAATATATATATATGTGGAAAAATAAAAGCCATGTTCCAAGCCACCAACCAGTGGTCATGTTTTTTCCACTATGGATGGAATGGATTTTTCCATGATCTCCTTGTGAAGCAGCTGATGCCTCTGGCGCCTCGACATGCTGCTTCGAGGCGGTTTCTTTTCGGGTAAACGGGCGATTTTATAAGTTCAAGCCATCCTAAGAAACCGATGTCAATCATCATTTAAGCAGGCATTCAATTCATTTAATGGATGGTTATTTAACATAGCCATGGAAAATGGCCCATTATAGATGGTTTACCTATTAAAAATGGTGATTTTCCGTGGCTATGTTAAATAACCAGAGGGTTATGGATGGTCCTGATTTTGATGCCCTTCGGGTTTCAGAATCGATGAAAAACGTGTCAAAAAGAGTGTTCCGTTGTTGCGAAGAACACCCTGTTTTTAACCGGGCTTGCTGAGGTATCTAATTGGCTGTGTCAATGGTTTGGGAAAAACAAAACATGGCATCCTCAAAGTTGATGGACAGAAACCTAAACTCCTGACTTCTTGAGGTGAGAAGCATAAAAACAGCATGGTTTCAAACCTCGGTTTCAAACCTCGTTCTCTGGGTTCCCTATTCAAATTGCCCAACCCACTGCTGAAGCTCGCCTGCCCACTTACCGTCTGCACATTGCCTGGCAAGTTGGGACGTGTGAGATCTTCCAGGTGAATGGTTCGATTGTTTTGGTGGTTGTTTAAAGGAACACGCTAGTGTTTACCACCAATTTTGGGAGTTTCCTACCATTCCTTCCATCCAAATATATAGGATAAAGGTATTTTGAATGGCTACAAACGAGGATAAACCTATTTTGGGGTAAAAATCATGCGGATGTAGTGGGATATGTGAGTTATAAGATGTTATAAGAATGGATGGATTTAATGGAAACGATTGGTTTTACTCCTCGAAATGAGTTGCATTTCCCTGTAATTATTCCGGGAAGAATGGGCAGCGTGCTCAACAAAGATCGCGTGAAATTTATCCTTTGAAACTTTTCGAAGCACATACCCCAAAAATCCAGCATTTATTGTAATTGACCCTTATAAAATCTTGGGCGATTTTGTACCATTTTCAGACACACCCACATGCCCAAATCATCACAAGAGCGTGACTGCGCAGCGCTTCCCGCGCTTCCCGGCCTGCATCCTTGGGTACCCATCCCCATTGCATTGGTTCCTGTTGCGTCAAAAAATCTCAGCTCAGTGGTTCTACAATCATGGGTGTGCTACGAAAAAAAAAATAGCCAGCAAGATGTGATTTGGTATGATCTGGAATGCAGTCCCAATAATAAACCATCCCATCTTACTGGTGCGTTTTACGTAGGGTTGCTGAATGGGTTGCTGGGGGTTGCTGGGATTATGAAATTATATGAAATTGATAGTTCGCCAGTGGATCATTCCCTTTAAAATTCCCCTACGTAAAACGCACCAGTAAGCCATTGCTAGGGCTATCCAATCATGAACCTCGGGGATGATTTATGATGTCTGGCCTCCAGCCACTCGTGAGTGACCTGCACGGCGGGGATGCAAGTTGCGAACAACGGCTCGGCAGAACAAAATGGGGCAGAACATACTTGGCCCCAAAACAAACATTTAAAAAAACTCTAAGATTCTACATATACTTTTACATTTTTAGATCCACTTTATGGTCCCAAATGGGTCCAAGGGTCCAAGTCACCGACATCGTCACCGTGGCGCCGAGTCACCGTTCTGCACAATGCCCCATCGTCTCTGACAGAATCATCTCCCGGCGATGTCGGAGAGGCCTCAGCGGTCAGAATAAACATCGAAATCCCAAAGGAAAACCAACAACTGGGGGTGGTTTATTGTTGGCTATACATGGCTATACCACATTCAAAAAAGTAGCGAAAATACTAAGATAAAATGTGATGAATCTTTGGAATATTGTATGTTTATTGCTCTCTCATTACACATCATGTAGATGGTTGAATTATAGTCTAATTTGATACCTAAAAAAACACACTCTGGTAATTTAACATAGCTATTGAAAATGACCATAGAAATAGTGGATGTTCCCATTGAAAACGGTGGATCTTTCCATCGTTTTTTTCTATGTTTACCAGGCCGGGTAAATTTGGCATCAAGCTGGAGAAACCTATGGCCAGAATAATCAATCACCTGGATGACAATGGGGGGGACCCCAATGACTGAAACACATATGTCATGCGCATCTTGATCCCCAAAAAAGGTCCGCATGTGGATACTGTATATCCCTATAAACAACCCCCAAACCAGCAAATATAGGCGCATAAACGATATAAAAATATCATGGACCATACCCAAATCCCACATCTTATAGTATAAATATCGTATATATTTGGTGAATGGAAACCCACCATGGGAGCAGAAAATCCGTCAACAAATCCCAGGAGCATCAGCTGTTGGCTGCTCGTCCTCTTCCTGCTTCGCCAGAGGCCAAAGGGAAGCCAATAATTGAGATATAACTGGCCAACAATAGGGATGGGATACAATGGGGATATAATGGATATATGATGATATATGACACAACAATAAGAATAAACTTATTTTTTTGCTGTTCGAAAAAGGGGATATTCTAATCCATCATTTGTCCATGGCCAACATTCGATTTTTCAGTGCGCCAAAAAAATCGTGCGCCTCTTCGTCAGAGTCGTCCAAGTCCTAGGGGCCGAAACGAAATCGGCGGCTCAAAGGAAAAAAACATCAACGAAACATTGGGACGGTTTACCCGGCCTGGTAAGTTAACATAACGAACTGGAAAGATCCACCATTTTCTAGCTGGGTAAATCAGCTATTTCGACTGGGCCATGGCTTCCATAGCCAACTGTAAACGTTTACCAGGCCGGGTACAAACCCACAAAAATCCCACATGTCACATCAAGTTGCGGCTGGATATCCCATGAAATATCCCCATTTGGCCACTTTCCATTAAATCCCCCATGAAAATCCCGACACAAAACCCCATCAAATCCCCATCCGATCATATTATTTCCAAATCCCACAAAAAAAAAAACATGAGAAAACCATACAATCCCATAAAACCACCATAAAATCCCATAAAACCACCATTAAATCCCATTAAACCACCATTTTAGACCCCATTCGAATCTCCAGTACGTCACAACGCCACCGCAGAAAACGTCGTGGGTTCCCCTGGGTTCCCCCGACCCAGTTACCACTCGCAGGCGGCGCAGTCTTGGAACGGACGATTTCGCCGGGCTCCGGGGTGTCCTCGATGTCCAGGAAAGTATTTCGCACCTGGCCGTTGCGGCTTTTCGTCAACAAGAAATGGGGGATATCAAAGGGGAATAGAGATTGATGGAATCATGTGGAATATTCCAATTGAATGGAGATTTTCTATGGGATCTTAATGGACTTTTTTGGGGATGATTACCCTCTGGTAATTTGCTACATAGCTATTGAAAATGACCATAGAAATAGTGGATTTACCCATTAATAGCATGGTGGATCTTTCCATAGCTATGTTAGTTCACCAGAGGGTATCATGTGGAATATGGGAATTGAATGGAGATTTAATGGGATTTAAATTGATTAATAATGGGATTACCTTGGGATATGCAATGATGGACAATGGAGATCTAATGGGATCACCAATCAAAAATGGCCGTTTTTACATAGCGAAAATATGGGATCTTTGACCATAGTCATATGGAGGGATTATGGACGGTATCATATTGAACAATCATAAAATAGTGAATGTGGGTGAATTCCTTTTGTAGGGAGTATAGTGGAGGGGATATGATTGCAGTATCTTTTGTATGGGATGATGAAAATGGGATCATACACACCCAATGATTGTAAGATGTCATCGTCTTGTTAACCTTCAGCAAATCCAAGTACGGGCTTCAAAAACAGATGTTTATTTCGTAAATCATCGCGCTATTCCGACTTTTTAAGGTGTTTTAATATCAGGTTTCAACAGCATTTAACCAGGGTCTATGAAAACTAGAAGGATACGAACTCGGCATTTCTGGCTGAACTGCTCTGTGGTTACTCATGGGATGAATCGTAGCCTTCCCAGCGGTGGGAAAAAGTGATGGGGATATGATGGGGATATCATTGCGGATAATACCCGGCCTGGTAAACGTTTACATAGCTATGGAAAGATCTACCATTTTTCATGGGTAAATCAACTATTTCGACTGGGCCATTTTCAATGTCGCAAACTGTGAATGTTTACCAGAGGGTAACAATGGGGATATGATAGGAATGGAGGGATGAAAACAGCACCCTTAGCATGGCTTAGCCAAGAATCATAGGCATCATAGTGGGATATGATATGGGTCAATACCTATAGAATCCTATAGATACCATATTTTAGTGGGATATTCACATCCATAAATCCCAGCTATGACTTGGGGTTCACGGCACGGTACCAGGGTGCCATGACCCATCCCCATATAATCCGGGGCTTTCAAAGCTCATGATCATCATGTCAAGTTGCGACAAAAACGATGTTTTTTGGTGAGAAGTTATACCATAGTGATATCTCCATGATATCCAACCAATAAACTTGGAAAATGATTTCAGATATGTTGTTTATTTGTATCACTGTATCACATTAAAAATGGTATGTCTCCATAATATCTCCAGAATATCCCCATCGTATCACAAAAATGATGAATGTCTCCCCCGTTCACCAGGCTCCCCGACCAGGACCATCGGGCCACCCCCCTGGTGATGGGAATCCAGCAACAAAAACAGGAGAAACAGGGCGAGTTATGTCAGTTTTATGGGAGTTAATGCTATATAGTGACACCTCAGTTATTTTTATGACTAGTTTTATCACTTTTTCGTCATTCCTAGACGACTCAAAAAAAAAACGTGGGACATAGCTGTTCAAGCCCCTGCCTCGAACTGCGGAACAGCTTCCATGTTTCCTCCCACTGAAGCGCTACGCAACAGCAGGAGGTGGTCTTGAGCCGGAACGGAGGCATCGAATGTGTGGCAACAGCTGAGGACACATTCAGCTGATTTTTTGTGGCTCAAGATGTGTGCAAAAACATGTTAGATCCTTTTAGGGATGTTTACCCTCTGGTTATTTATAGAAAATGGTCATTTATAGTGAGTTTTCCCATTAAAAATGGTGATTTTCCATAGCTATGTTAGTTTACCAGAGGGTAAATGATTTTAAATGGGTATGTTTGAAAATCGGGTTTGAACAGGGGTAAACCATGGGATTTTTTAAGGAGCGACTTGGATGAAAAACCAGCCCACAACAAATCAAGGACTTCCATGGAGACCCCTCTGTTTTCTCCTATTTTTTTGGGGGACCCCTTGTTCCAAAATAGCACACACAATTCACAAGGTTCAGTTTAAAAAAAGGCCCCTTGTTCCAAAAAACGCCTTGAGTTTTGCTTGGTAGGTGGAGTTGAGAGTGGTGATGTCGTAGAAGGTGAAAAACATGTCCTGAGCCGCTGAAAACTCGACAGATCCCAACCAAGGTGAGCGAAGATCACGGGACACCTATGAAACCAGTACAATGGGATAGGATGGGATAGGTCTATTTTTCAATGGTGGGCAATCTCTCCATGCAACATTCACACACACATATATATATATATATAGTGTATATATATATAGTTCTACCGTCATTTTGCAGACCGGTGGCTGCATCGAAGTTGTCCTGTGCAAGTGCAGCGGTAGATAAACATAGATAAACCAAATAACCAAATGGATGGCAGGGTCAACACCCAAGCCTTGACGTACTTGAGGCACAGGTTGACAACTTCATCAATACAATACCTCGAGAAGGGGAAGGTTGCGCCAACAAAATGTGTCGCGAAAGGGATGAAAGGCAAAGTCTATAATTACAGCAGGAAATACCCTCTGGTAATTTAACATAGCTATTGAAAATGACCATTTATAGTGGATTCACCCATTAAAAATGGTGATTTTCCATAGTTTTTTGCATGTTTACCAGGCCGGGTATCGATCATCTCTGTCACGATTTCTATCACCTCTGTGCCAGAAATCGTGACAAATTTCACCGCCCCCTTGGTGCTGCACTTATCCGCTAACGTCAACAAACCTCAGCTCTGCTGATCATCATGAGGTACCAACATAAATCCACCATGGGCCGGGCCGGTGGCCGGCTGATGGCCCAAAAAAAACCGGTGAAAGTTGAAACCCCTATTGACAAACCACGAACAAAAACGGCAGTTTCAACCATAGATTCTCCATTTCTGCAATTTGTGACCACCCAGGAGAAATGCTTGTGATAACCTCAGGATACTTAAGTGATCTTAAGTGTCAGACCCACTACTGTGTGCTCGTTGATGTCGACTTGATTCCTGGCACGAACCGAGCGTATAACGAGGCAACGAGGCAAAAACCGCAACGATTCTGTACAAGTATCACTCATGAAAACCTTTCAGTTCTTCAAAGACTTGAAACATCAAAGTGTAGCGAAGTGTTCAGCTAAGTCTCTTGTCTTCGTGATTCAAAATATAACTTGTCTTTTTTCGTTTCTTCGTTTATCTCAGTTAGTCAGAAAACTGTCAGTGTCTCTTTTTAAACTTCCCCATGACTTTTTAGCCAGCGACGTGTAGATGAAGCGCAAAAGCTCCACGAACTGCGATGGCGCAAAGGATGGGACCCCTGGGATGGGGAAAATGGGAAGATTATGGTAGATATTGTATGATATGAGTACCATTCATGGATTCTTAATGTATATTATCAATAGATTCTCAATATCTTAACAATATCTTATCAATATATTATTGAATACTAATATATGATGATCGCCATTATATCAATATTAGTAATGTATTCATATATCAATATCATTAATATACTGCTAACATGATATGTTCTTCATGGGTTTTCGAAAATCTTTATCTTCCCCAGAAAAAGTTTCTCCGTCAGCATACCGTCAGCTGCAAGTGAGACAACAACTTGCCTTCCATTGAGACCATCCCACTATATCCCATTACCCTCTGGTAAATTAACATAGACCCTGGCAGATTGATAGGGGTTGGAAGATTAGTGAAACCATTAAAGATTGGTGATGTTCAGGGTCTATGATAATTTACCAGGGGGTATTTCCCATTGTATCCTGGTTGGTGATTGACCTACCCATCTTGAAAAATATGAAAGTCAATGGGAAGGATGACATCCCGTATATGAAATGGAAAATAAAAAATGTTTGAAACCACCAACCAGTATCACATTGTGTATCCCACTACCAATCTCAAATGACATGTCTAACTCTAATCTCCAAATTCCACTAAATCATACCACTCAGTTGCACATCCCAGTAGATATGACTTAGTGGATTAGATAGTGATTATAGTACATTATAGTGGGATATGATGATATGATGGGATATGGATTCGCAAGGTATATGTATATGCAAAGTATATGCAATATACATCTATTACCCTCTGGTAAATTAATATAGACCCTGAAAATAAACCATTTTTAGTGGAAACTAGTCTTCCAACCCCTATCTGCCAGGGTCTATGTTAATTTATCGGATGGTACCTATCTGGAAATTATCTGGAATTATTGAAGTTAGAAGTGACTGTATATCTTTATTATATGGCTTATTATTTAACTACATGTCATATATCATATATCATATATCATATGTTATATAGTTATATAGTTATATTGGTTTATCATAGTATTATGTACATATCCATTATCCATACCAGGACCATATTTCACACGTGTCCCCGTGTCGCAGCTCGCCGTGTGACTGTCGTTTCTCTCGCCTCTGTGCGGGGCTCGCAGATCAAGGCTTCGCGGGTGATGCCTTCCCTCAAGGGCGTCTCGGAACCTGCGCGCCAAGCTATGGGGATATTGATGGTTGATCAATGGTTGTTAATGGGTTATCAATGGGTTATCAATGGTTGTTAGTGGTTGATTAATGGGTTGATTAATGGGTTGATTAATGGGTTGATTAATGGGTTGATTAATGATTATTAATGATGTGGGTTATCAATGGCTTATTCATGGATCATTTATGATTTTTTGATGAAAAAAAACGCTGAGCTATTGGGATATTGGTTGATTAATGGTTGTTAATGATTGTTAACGATTGTTAATGATTGTTAATGGTTTGTCAATGGTTTGTTAATGGGGTATCAATGGTTTATCAACTGTGTATCAACTGTGTATCAATGGTTATTAGCCTGGAAATAGCTATTGGTTCATCAATGGATATTAACGGATCATGATTTATGAAATTTTGATGGTTTGATACGGTGTGACTGTGGTTCATGAAATTCATGGGATTTATCCAAAGGCTTATGAATGAATCTTAATGGATATATTTGAGGATCAATGGATATTATTCATGGATGTTCATTGCGATTTAGAATCAATGTGATATTTGGATATGTTATGTTTGAAAATTGGATACACCCCCGAGCCCGAGTTATAGCCATTTCATGGAAAAAATGATGATAACCCATGGGGTTTGGGGCACCTTATTTCCACACAACCCCATGTTGGCTATAGATAAAGTAGAGTGAAATATGTGTGGTGCTTACCTAAGAACCATGGGGATATGAAGCAACATGTTTTTTTTACGATCAAAGACGGTTTCTTTCGGCAGAAAACTGAGGAACATTGGGAGTTCATCACCCACCGAAACGCCAAGCAGCTCAGCATCTTGTAGAAGTACGGATGCTGCCTCGGCACCGTTCGCACCGTTACCCTGACAGCAGTTATATAGTAAGGGGTTGTAACCAGCATGGTATAGGCATGGTAGAAGCCAGTTCTATCATGTTCTATAATGTATACGTTGTAAACCACTCAAATATCATCTGGGTGATTTTTTGTTTCGTACTTCATCAACCTGAAGACCTAGAGATAGAAACCCCTGATGCTAACAATCATTTCAAGCAACATCATTGTATTCGCATGTTAATTAAGCACGGTAGTTTCACCAGCGAGTTTCACCATGTTTCACCAGCAGCTTCCCAAACACTGAGCTTCTGGGCGTCAAAATCAAGGAATGACAGCAGAGCCGCAAGGCATCTGGCAGCTCGAACTTCTGGATTTCCAGGGGCCGATGGGAGACTTTCACATATTGGGAAAAAAAATCCTGGACATGAAGAACACATGGAAATCACATGGAAGCCAACAAAGTACAGAATTGCTGTCGTTTTGGAGTCAAATGTCCTCAGATTTTGAATTGAGACGTGACATCATTTTCTGGCTCCATATCATCATCCAAGAATTGCCATATGGCTCATATCATCATCCAAGAATTGCCAGAAATTGCCAGAAAATGTCCCAATATGTCCCAATATGTCCCATGTTGGGAGCATTTACTCATAAATTTACATCGACATCTCAGATCGGTTTCTGAAAAAATGGGGACGTCGATCTGAGTCGATCTGCTTCGTCGGTCCGCCTTCCGTCATGGGATCTCTGGGATCTGTAATCACCAGGAGGATGTCTCCAGAGCCTCCACAGATGAGGAAAACTGTGACAATCATCAGATTTCAGGAACTGGGAACCCAAAAATGCTGTTAAACCCAAAAAAAAATCATCTAAGTGCTTTGAAAACACAGTGAAACATGTCCAAGTTACGCGTTCACCTTAGAGTTCTCCGAATCCAAAAAACTGGGTAGGGTTGGATGGGGGCTTCGCGCGCGAATCCTCTCAGGGCGTGTAAAATGTCGAAATTTGCTGGATTCATATGGATTCCATCAAAAAAGGAATTTCGACAGCTATAACCACCATTAACCACCATGAATGTCAACCCCGGATTAATAAACCATGAGACTAAACCATGGTTTATGACAATTAGGGGGGTACGAGTACCAAATAGTCATTTCATCTGATACTTAAAAAAATGTGATCCCCCCAATTCAACAACCTACAAGTGGGGGTTTATGAATCCAGGGTTTTTAAATTCACCACCATGAAAAACGAAAAAAATGTGGTTCCGTGGTTCTTCAAACATCTTCAAACTGCTTCCGATCAACGGCCGGCTATGGCCTCCTGGTTGGAAGACCTCTTCAAACAGCTTGGCCATGGCTGTCACTGTCACAGGCACATCATGAAGCCGTGGCGCCACGGACGCTGATGGACGTCGAAAATGGAGGTGATGGAAAGGTGTCGTGTAAGGTGGCACCGTATTGCCAGGTGTTAATTCTAGGTATAAGTAGAAATCAACCAATCAACCGTTGGTGTATGAAAACCATTCAATCCATTCACCATGAAAAAAACCTGAGAGATCTTGAGATTCGCCTGTTTTTCCAAGTCTACGTCCAATCCCTGAGAGATTGGAAATCTTGGGGATTACGCTGGGGAATCTTGCGGATACTTTTCATTTGGGTTGGCAGACTTCTGAGAGGTTGCAGACTACGGACTGTTTGAAGTCTGTGGGAGGTTCGTTCTGTTGAAATCTGTCTCAAACTTTGGAACACCATGACATATGTCACAAAAACCATGGTTTTTGAAAAGGTTTGAAACAAAAAAAACTGAACCCCATCAATGTTGAAAAACCCATGGTTCCTTGAGCGGTGTGAAACACGGCCAAGTCGGAGAGGCGGATCATATTCCAGCTGTTTGTTTGTGGAATTCGAATGGCATGGGCCATGGGTTTTCCATGGCTTAATTCAGAGGAAATGTTACGGGAAACTGGTTGTTACCATGAAAACGTGAATTTCGGTGTCCGGTTTCTGTTTACTTGACCTGACTCAAGCCAGCCGCGACTTTTTTGGATCTGCTTTGCAGAAAAACGGGCACTGCGGGAGTTGACTGGCATTCCCGTTGAACAAAAGTCTTCTTTTTTTAGCTGATGCGGATTCTGCGGATTCTGGATGGTGTAACAAATGTGGATAAATATAACCATATTCATAGGACAAATCTGGGAATTTGGTCGAGCTCAACATCTGCTTTAAGCAGATGGGCGGCTGTCAGCGTTATCGATAAAAGCAGCTCCCTTGAGGCAAAATGACAAGTTCAGTACCCTCTGGTAATTTAACATAACTATGGAAAGATCCACCATTTGTTATGGGAAAATCCACTATTTCTATGGCAATTTTCAATAGCTATGTTAGTTTACCAGAGGGTATCTCATCACTGAAAGTTTCTCTCTCAGTATCTTCATGATGACTCTGTCAAACTTGTCTATGCCATCGATGCTGGTGTTTCATTGCGATGACGGATAAAATAGAAATGCCACTGCAGATTCTGCAAAAAAAAGAGGCACTCAGTATTTGCTTAGCCCTGGCTGTGGAAGTCTGACAATATGGTTTCGTCACGAAATGGGACATTTAACCAACATGATGTCGACAAAAAATGGGTATAATGAGGGGATAGAATCATAGGATCAACAATCATGGCAAGCATATGTAAATATTTTATTAGGACATTCATATCCGACAAATACTAGCAATATGATGTGTGTGTGTGTCTGTGTGTCTGTTTTTTTGTGGGTGTTGTTTCTCCCAATTTTAGTGGATATTTTACTCTCTGGTAATTTAACATAGCTATTGACAATGACCCAGTCGAAATAGTGGATTTTCCCATTAATCATGGTGGATCTTTCCATAGCTATTTTGTCATAACCAGAGGGTAAGTCCATCAAATCTCATGGGCAAGTTATTTACGGCAACATCAATTCGTTTCCGGTTTTGGTGAAAATCATCACTTGAACCGCAGCATTTTTTCGTTGGTAAAAAAGTACCAATCAATGGCCATTTTCGTTGGATCCTAAAATGGGAATATACACCCAAAATATGGCCTTATATGATCTTATATGGTACTAACGTACCTCCATTTTAGGATCCTGGAATTCCCATTGAAAATACCATTGATCAAAATCTCCTCTCTCTTCCGACGTTGCAAACTCATGGGGTCCAAAAAGCCAGAGAGACGCTTGACGCTGCTCCCCCCACCTGTTCACGGGCGGTCTGTAGAATTTTAAGCCCCATAAGTTGGGGCCCATGGGGCCGCTATAACTATGGTTATATAAGTATGGTTATTATTATTCAGTATGATTCTATATCTGTATAACCACAACAAAAAAAACACAGACTTGAATATCTTGAATTATGAACTAAAGCAGAATGGTATTGGGAAGTACTTGAGATAGAGATTTGCGACTCATTCCCAGACGGCCTGCGAGAGGGTCCCCTGTTTTCTCATTCGCTCAACTTTGAGTTGTGCTGGGCTCTTTTTCTCCTGGCACACCAGAGGCATAGCACACAGGTTGATTCCCATGTTGAAAGCTGGTGAATCTGCATCTCATGCATCCAGGTCCTCAGCCTTCTTCAGAGGCACCGGAGTATAGTAAGCAGCTTCAAACCTGCAGCTTTCACAGAGTCGCAGCGAATGGACCACCTGGACTTTCGCAGAAATTTCAAACCCCAGGCCATATCGCCACCAGGCGACTTGTCTGTGGGCCGTTTGTAGGCCGGGTGGTACGCGAAGGTGTCCTCCTTCTGCCTGGGCACGGCAAAATCTTCGAAAGACAGGGGAAAAACGCTGAACTTCCTGAACTGAGCGCAGGGCAGAATTCCAATGGCCTCCTTGTGCTTGGCACGGACCTCATGTGAAGAGATTTTGAAAACTAAGACTCTTAAGCAACTCACTTCATGATCATTTTCTAGAGAAAACACTTTCTCCCACACTCATGCTCCATTGACAGAGATTTTCCCCCATTTTTTCCGCCAGTTTCCGCCAGTTTCATCCGAGATCGTTGCCATTTTGTAAGTTTCATCCGAGTTGTCCATGAGTTTGCTGTACTCCTGGAGGCCCAATGGTGACAACTGGTGCTTGCCAAAAACACTGCGATTTTGCCATCCCCTTGATATTGAACACCCCAAGAAATCATCGCTTAGTAGGCAATCTACAGATATTTGTGAGTTTGGTCATGTTTAAAATAATGTCTTTTGAAAGATCTTGCTGTTGTCCTCCCGTGTCCTAGAATAAACATGAATAAACCCAAAAATGTCGGGGTCAAAGCATTCTTTTTTGGGGGACTGGTTTCCAATCCCCCAAGTCTCCAAAACGTAGATACATATAACGGGTCCTTGTCGAAGGTCACCGATCCAGCCTCGCACCAGATTTGTCCCCTATTCTTGAGCGAAATCAGATATTTGCGGACTGAAAATCGGCTGAAAAGCAATATTTGATGGTTTAAAAAGTTTAAAGACATCGTTCTCCCCATGAAAATTAAGCCACAAACTGGGGTTCATATACCTTACATTTTTAGACATACCTAAGTTTCAGTGGTTATCCCATTAGATCCCTCTTTTTCTCAGAAATACTGAAATTATAGAGGAAAAATCTGAAAAATCCCTCATTTTGTCACCGAAGTTGCCTCATAGCCCTCGACCAATGCAGCTGCACGGTCACGCTCCTGGTCCCGGATGAAGCGACCGTAGAGGCCCTCTGATGCAGTTGAGGTTACGGGTTGAACAATACGGGTATAAACCACCGTAAGTCGGGATATAACATGGTATAACCCCTGTAACATCCTGTAACTATGGTGATATCTCCACTTACAACTAAAAATGCACTTCCAAGTAGATAGTTAAGTTGACTCATAACTTGCTTGACGTTCTGTTTTGTGGGGGTTCTTTTTCATGATATTTCCCAATGGGGCGAGTTACTAAACCAACTTCAGAATCTCAAGCGGGCCTCACCCTGTATGACAGTTGAGAGTTGAGAGGTTACCCGGCCTGGCAAACATTTACATAGCGAACTGGAAAGATTCACCATTTTGTAGCTGGGAAAATCCACTATTTCTATGGCCGTAAACATACAAAAAACTATGGAAATCACTATTTTTCATGGGAAAATCCACTATTTCATCTATTTCTATGGAAAGATCCACCATTTTTAATAGGTAAATCCACTAGTAACCGTAGCTGGGCCATGGTTTTCATCGCTTTTTGTCTCCCAGGTTTCACCAACGGACGTCCCAGCGGTCACCTTCTTCAGCTCAGCATGCTCCTCAAATCAAGCTCTCTGCGACAGCACATGATGGTTGAATCCCCATCTAACATCGGGCTAGCATATAATTCTATACATACCTACAATACATATACTATCATACGATTATATATATACATATATATATATATACGGTAACTACACTTAAATATATGGACTTTTAAATATACGAACAGGTATTTTAGACTACCTCCGGAAGGTTTTCCTTGGCCCGCCCGGCCATTTAAACATACGGAATCCCATTCATTTATACATACGGTAACTACATTTAAATATACGAACTGGTATTTCATACTACCTCCGGGGCCTCGCGGTCTGGCCCGCCCTCCACATATTCAAATGTCGTTACCGTATATATATATATATATATGTATAATGTTATATACTATGTATATCATATGTGTGTTGGTTTTTGAACATCCCACATATATCAGCCCTTGTCGTCGGCTTGACGTCTTTCGCTTAAGCCGCCTGTTGTAGGCGCTGCAAATGTCGCTTCAGTTCATCTGCACCTCGCTCATCAGCCTGGGATGACCATCCCCTGGACTGAAATAGTGATTATTCTCTGGTAGTGACTAGCATAGCTATTGAAAATGGCCATTTTAATGGGATTTAATGGGGTTTTATGGGATTTTATGGTGGTTTAATGGGATTTAATATGATATACCCTCTGGTAATGACATTCACAGTTTGCGACATAGAAAATGGCCCAGTCGAAATAGTTGAGTCATTCCCAGCTACAAAATATATGGGTGGATTTTCCAGAGTTTTTTCGGACAGTTTACCAGAGGTATTAATATGATATATATATATATATTAAATGATTCTAATAGGGCAAAAAAAGTGGTGATCAATGAGTACACCGTGTACACCCTAAAGTGAACCGATATTTTTTTGACCACGCCTTGACTTCTTCGTCCAACTCCTTCAATTTCATTTGCAGAGTCGCTAACAGGTGGCCTGCGATGGGTTGCGATGGCTAGTGCATTGAAGAAGTGAAGATCTCTCCACGGAGAGCATCCAAAATGGGATATCACTTTCTTTGATTACAATTATATACACACAATCACAACTGTCGTTTAGTTTAGATCAAGACTTGGGTACAGCTATCTATCTAGCCTTACTGGCCTTACTTAGCGTTACTAGGAACAACGGTCCTGTGCTCCCAATGGCACCGCCCCATGGCCCCACCATGGCTGCCCCATCAAGGCATCGGCTTCGCACCTGTCGTCTCGGTCTGCAAATCTGATGAGCTTTGAGGCAACGGTCCTGGGGAAAAGACGTGAGATTTTCATGGCAATTAGCATGAATTGATAGCCTATGATAGCTATGATTACCATGAAGAATGGCATGATTAGCCATGAATTGATAGCCCCATGATTACCATGAAATGATATGAAATGGCATGATTAGCCATGGAATTGATAGTTGATAGCCAAAAATTCCATGGCTAATCCATGACTGACGATCAAAACTGGGTTTAGCCATGGAATGATATAATTGATACGTGCTTGATGGTCAAAATTCTGATGCATTGAGCTGGCTCTTGATGGCTGATGGTTGTATTACCTCCATTTTTGATGGTCAAAATCCCCCCTTCAGTGGAGGTTACATAAAGACTAAACTTTCAATGGCTGGTCTTATGTAAATTATCGACTGATATCATTGATCCAGCAATTAGACAGTCAAATCATTGTTCATAATTCGATGTTGGCTAATTTCAATGATGGATTAATATCATCCAGCATAATCCAGCTATGATGAAATAAAACCACAGAAATGCCATACCCTCTGGTAATGACTAACATAGCTATAAAAAATGGCCCATTTATAGTTGATGTCTCTATTATTCAAGTGGTGGATCTTTCCATAGTTATGTAAACATTTACCAGAGGGTACCCTGTGGTAAACTGTTACATAACTATGGAAAGATCCACCATTTTGTAGCTGGCTAAATCCACGACATTTCGACTGGGCCATGGCTTCCATAGCTTTTTGTATGTTTACCAGGCCGGGTATATACCACATTAAATCCCATTAAACCACCATAAAATCCCATTAAATCCCATTAAACCACCATTTTTCATGGGAAAATAGCCGGGTAAATCCAATGATATCCACCATTAATGAATCCACCATGACACCACACCTTTCGCCCGCGACGCCAGCTGACCAGCTGCACGCTGGCCCTCCACCTCCGCAGCCGCACGGTTCGCTTGGCGCTGCGCCTGCAACCCGAGGTGGACATACGTAGGAGATGAATATGATATGAATCATATAAATATAGTTTTGGATATAGTAGACATATAGCATAATCATATATATATACTGTGTATACATATATATATATATAAACTGTGTATATATTGTATATACATATATATGTCTGTGTATATGAATATCGACATTCTTGTGTTGATGCATGTTGCATACGAGTACAATGTATATGTTAAACATGAATAAGCAAACACAGCAAACATATGACACTTGATGGGAACAAAAAAGGTATCTTTTATTCTATGTATAAGCAACGCTCTGATATCCACCCAAGTCCCTGCTGCTGGGGTTGATGGTTGTAGCAACCCCAAGAAGGATAGGCTTTTGGTAAAACCCTTGTATATATATATAGTGATAAGTTTGATCTGTTCTGTATCTTTTTGGGTGGGTTACTAGATCAAACTGTGGAAAACTGGGCTGGAAAACAGGGTGGAATCGCTTGGGTTTTTTCTCCATGTCCCACCAAGCCACAGCAGTGAATTTTAAACCATTTGTTTACTGCTTGGTGGTATACCTACCCCTCTGAAAAATGATGGACTTCGTCAGTTGGGATTATGAAATTCCCAACTGAATGGAAAAATAATCCAAATGTTCCAAACCACCAACCAGATTTGTTTAGTTGTTGAGTCCAGAAAGACCCTTTTGGAATGCACAAAAACAGCACGGTTTTGTCTGTTGGGGGTTTACCCTGGGGCAATCGTTCAATAGCTGAGTAGCTACAGAAAATCACAACTTTTTAATATATAGTTAAATTTATGTCAGCCAGACCATAGCTTTTTCTAACTTTTCTTAACCATATTTAAAAGTTTAAAAATCATTAGAATAAGCTATAGAGGTGAACAGAAAGTTAAATCATCTACAAAGAGGCAAATTGTCCATAGCAACCTGAACGATTACCGGAGGGTACTGTAATTTCCATTCAGAAATCCCAAAATGTCATTGGTCAAATATGTTAAATCCATATTGATCCTTATGAAATATACAATCAAATAAAATTGTCCTCATTAACCAACGGATTAACCATCATAAGTTACCATGAAACCCCACTAAATCCCATAAAATTATCATTTTAATTGAATTAATGATAGTCGTTAAATCCATTAATCTGGGTAAATCATAATATTTCACTAACCTGAATCTTGCGGCCACTTGGGGATGATTTCCCTTACTAACCATGATGAGGTCGCAGTGAGGTCGTGATCAAATTTACCCAGATTAATGGATTAACATGGATTACCCTCTGGTAAACATACAAAAAACTATGGAAAATCACCATTTTCAATGGGAAAATCCACTATTTCTATGGCCATTTTCAATAGCAAACTGTTAAATTACCAGAGGGTAACCACCATCTTGGTTGGATTATTGATGGTTAAACCATGTGAAACCCGTCCAAATCCCAATGGTTTCCAGAAACTCTTCCTGGGTTCTCCCAGCAGCTCGTGCTTTGGCTTCCTCTAGGGAGCTGCCTGGCTACGGCCCCGGCAGTCGTCCTGGGTTCCGGTTCCTGGTGTCACTTCAAAGGCCAGCTCAAGAAATATCATATCAAGTTGGTTATATCTATTATCTATATATATATATACATATATATTTATTTATTTATCTATATATATATACTTAAATATAACAATATATAATTATATATATATATATGATGTTACAATACATTACAATAAATATCATATGGTGTCATATCTATATTATTCCATATTAGACTAGCTATTACTACGCTAAATTTCAAATCCATTAGAACTTGAACACTGAGAACTATGTCATAACTATGTCTTAACTACGGTGGATGGTTGCGAAATCCGAATCACCAGTTGAAAACGGTGGTTTTTACAGCCCATCATTTAGTTTGGCTTTCGACCATCCGTTTGGTGATGCAGCCTTTGGTGTCCACTCGCTGTGTGGCCTCAGGAGGAGACAAAAAAAAGAATCGGCGATTTGATTTCACTGGCTGAGAATGGGCTTACCCGGCCTGGTAAACGTTTACAGTTTGCGAACTGGAAAATGGCCCATAGAAATAGATGGTTATATGGTGTACCTATTAAAAATTTTGATTTTCCATAGCTATGTTAAATTACCAGAGGGTAGAATGTGAACAAACATATGGAAATCCCTGGGGATTTAGACTCATTGAATGTTCTTCAATCCATTTTTTTGGGGGGCCAACATGGGCCAACTTGTTTTGATCTCAGACTTTGCGTATGCATGGAGACTGACAAATCTGACAATAGGATGTTCAAGAAATGCTCAAGTGTTCCGAGCTTAAATAAGTGCAAATCCAACAAATTCATCATTTTAATTAAATTAATGATAGTCGTTAAATCCATTCATCTGGGTAAATTATAATATTTCACTAACCTGAATCTTGCGGCCATTTGGATCCATTTGGGGATCATTTCCCTTACATTCACCATGATTCCAGGGTTCGGGAGAACAGTGAGGTCGTGATCAAATTTACCCAGATTAATGGATTAACATGGATTAACCACCATCTTGGTTGGATTATTGATGGTGAAACAGTGAAACCCCTCCAAATCCCCATTCGTTATGTTGTCACAGTTGTCACTTCCAAATGGATCAAATGGCACATTTAAGTCTCCCGCCATTTTCGGCACCGGACAACGAACTCACCACGGATCAGTCTTTGAGTCTTTGAGCCATACGTGGCACGTGGACGTGGGACTTTACTGAGTGATCTGGATTGTGTTCAGAAATGAAGACTGTAACATGTGTTTGCGTTTGCTTCGTTTTCAACACATCCACTGTCTTCTGCTAACATCTCTGTTTAAACCAACATCTGCATTTTGGCTCCCCCAGTGCATCAAAGCCTCTGACAAATTCCAATCGTTTTTCAGTTGGCGCAAGACTTTCAGCAGGGCTTGCCGCTCAGCATGCGCAGAACGATCATGTTCGGCCACGATGGCCTGTGACGCGGATTGTTTTGGTGATCTGCCGAAGAAGTAGTGAACTACACCATGAATGTCCGCATGGAGTGAGTGCGGTCTCTTGTGATGTCCCTGCGAGAAGCATATTTTAAGGAGAAACATTCACAAATATTCACAAATCACAAAGGACAACAGGAACTAAATCAAGTCAAGTCCCGTGGTTAAAAACCACGAATCTTCCCCATTTATTTTAGGCCATACATCGGGTCATCCCCATATTATGAGTATTAAGCCATTGTTTCCCCGTTTCTGCCCAGCCACATGGAGTTGCTCTTCCTCTGGATAGCCTGGAAAAGCAGTTCTTAAAAATCAACCGGTTTCAATGGGGAAAATGAGTAAAACATAGCATAAAACTATAGTAAAACGATAGTAAAACTGTAAAACTATAGCTTCTGATTCACCAGAGTTGAGGGTCACTTTTGTTCACTGGACCATCCCACCACTTCCCATGGTGCCCCAAGTGATACACTGGGTCCAGAGATGTCCAGAGGAGATACCGCACAATTGTTGTGGGAAAATGTGCTTGTCAAACATCAGTTTTCCCACCATACTTCCCAAGCATATCTTCACATATTTCAAGCATTTTCCCAACCATTTTCCCAAGATTTTCCCAAGATTTTCCCAAGATTTTCAGGTAACCCAGATCGAAGATGATCGAGCTCTCTGTGCCTCGTTGATATCCTTGCAAACGTCCATCTGCGCCACGAAGAGCACTCCACGAGAACCACGAGCTAAGGCCTGACCAATCTGACCACCACCGGGAGACCACCGAAAATCGAACTCGGAATGGATGGAAAATGGGAAAATGGCATGGAACATGACGGTGAAATTTAGGGATGTTCCATCCATTTTCCGAAAATGATGATCTCGGAATGATCAAATGGAACGATAAAGTGATTTCCAGCATTGATAAAGCCTCAAATTTAGGGCTAATGACATGTAATTACTCCATTTTGAGACAATGCCTGATGGGGACATACCGAATCAGCAATGGAAAATATCGTATACAGTGTACTGTGGCAAAAAAAAAGTTGAGCTGGCTAGCAACTAGCAGTTTGGTGGATGAGTTTGCATCAAATCTGCTCTTCAACATGTTCGTATGCCAAAATAGCCTCCAGTAAACCTGTAAACATAGCATCACATAGCTATGGAATGATCATGAATAATCACCTGTAGATCATGTCCAAAGGAAACAACCATGGAATTCCAGCACGCTTTTTGTCTGCCAAATCTCAGCACGCCTTTCGCTGTGGGCTTTGCAGTTGCAGCCACGGCAGGAGCTGCTCGCCGGGTACCATAGCGTGCCTGGATTTTGGTGCTGCCACTGAGATCCCCACGAAAAATCCAATCCCTCTTGATGGGGAATAAACTAAGAGCCCCATATATGATATCCATGTTTTCGGGATGGTGGAACATGGTGAAACAAGATCCACATCAATTTATGGCGTGCCTGTGGTAGCCAGCGGGCATCAAGCCTGGGAAAATGGCTGGGATTTTTTTGGGACTTCAAGCGCCATCATCCTGGAGTAGAGAGAAAAATCATATGGATGTGTTGAATGAATGAACATCTGCTTGGTGGTATACCTACCCCTCTGAAAAATGATGGAGTGAGTTCGTCAGTTGGGAATGGAATGGAATCGCTTTAAGACAAAGGGAATAACAAGCATCGCTCAGATTTCTCCCATCCTCCGGGAATTTCCATCAGTGCCTCAGCAGCCCCAATTTCCTCATGGCCTCGCTTCAAAAGTCAGCTGGCTGCTTTTTGCTGTGGCCAAATCTCCCAAAAAATGGAGACCCCAAATTCCCACGACGAATCAACGAACGAATTGCTGACAGGAGAATCCTGTCGGATATCCATAGGATATCCATAGGATTCTGGTTGGCTTTTCCCATGGCTTCCCATGGATCCCATGGCTTCAGGTACCAAATGGTACCATGTGGCCGCGCCTCGGCGTCCAAAGGTCCACCAAAGCCTGGAAGCATCTCGAGGAAACTGCGACCTGAGATCGTTTTACGCCACGGGAAATGTTGAGGGGAACCGTTCAACATCCGAAACACAAACCGTTCAACAAGAAGACATGTATTCGAAGAAACAAACAAAGTCAAACAATCAAAGCAAGAGATGATAAGTTGAATGATGTTGAATGATGTTGAATGCGAGTTTCAAGTGGCATGTGAAAAGCATTTTGGGATTCATATTACACCATCATATTAAACCATCATTAACAGCCATCATTAACAGCCATCAACCAATCATCGTCGCAGCGAAAAACGTTTTTGCGACGCGGATCGCCTCCACGGAAGCCCTGCAACGCCTTCGTCACTTTCGTCCAGGTCATCATACGGAAAGCACTGGGAAGGTCATCACCTGGGACTGCGCGATTTAGAACGCTTTGTAAAGAACTCGCGGTAAAGATTTTACCAGATTTTAACATCAGATTTAAGAGGTTTGTGCCAACAGAAAAAAATGGGCGTTGCATGTTTTTTAATTGAAATACATTGAAAGCAAGAAAAACTGCAACTGGCGATGCACAATGCGAGGCAAGGAAACAAAGATTGCAGAATCATTGCTGGCCACTGCATATTGAGAAAAGTTCTCAGCTCCACACAGAAATCACATGATGAATGTCGCTGTTTTCCAAGGTCCCAGACGGAGCAAGTTCTCTACATCCAGCAGATCCAAGGCAGAAACAACAGCGACAGCGCCAACCTGCCGTCGCAGGTTGAAAGCTGACCCAAAATTCACGTTGCAGAGACCTGGGACATGGCCCAGGTTCCACCTCAGCTTGCGGCTCTTGGGTGATCCTGGCGAAACCCGCAGAGTGAACCCAAAACGACCCCGGCCCGGCGCCGTGTACCACGGCGAAAAAAGGTCCGGTCCTCAAGCTGCTGAGGTGCAAGTCGTGTGCAAGCCGTGGCACTGGCGTTGCTGTACCAGCTTCAAGGCAGGCCTAAACATTGCTACAGGTCTAAAAAAAAACCACGGCGTAAACATTGGAATCCACGGCGTAAACAAATAAAATGGTGGTTTCATGAAATTGCTAAACGGCTAAAGCCAAAATCATCCAAATGTTGTCATATTTTTTTGAATAGAGGAAGCCAATGGCTTTGGCATCCCCCCATATTGAGAAATAGCCAACTCATTTTCCCATCTGGTGGACATGTGTAACCTTCGAGTCAATCAATCCTGGTGACTCTTTGCTGCCTTGTGAGAGTCCATGATGTCCAAAAATATGGCATCATTTTAACCCCAAAAGAAAATGATGTTTCATCATTTTGTTACCTACTGAACCGGATCAAAATCTCTTGTTTTCCAAACTAAAACCCATTAGGAGCCGCTTGGATCCCGACTTCCAGAGCCGCTGCATAGGTCACAGCATTGGCCTGCGGAAAACCCCTTTTTGGGGCCTGTTTCGGCCCCAATTTCATGGCAAATTCAGGGGGAAGTGGTGAGAAATGTGTGTCTGAAAATAGGGTATACCCCCGAAAGTAAGAAAAACAATATCAATTGAAAGATTATGATTTACCATGATTTACCAGTGGATTTGAGATGCACTATTTTCAGACAAAGCGATCCGGATTTACATGTGCTTTGAAGCAGAAAACAACACAGAAAACAACACAACTGTGTCTGCTATCCAGTATACGGGTCTTCCACATCGTGAGTAATCCCATCCCTCTACCCTCTGGTAAACATACAAAAAACTATGGAAAATCACCATTTTCAATGGGTAAATCCACTATTTCAATGATCATTGTCAATAGCAAACTGTTAGTCATGACCAGAGGGTAATATTAAATGCCCCCCTGAAAACCCCAGTGTTGGAATGGGATCTATTCATTTTGGGGAGCAACCTGGTAACGGGTGCTATACTCGTATGGGATGGGGATGGGATTATGGGATTGGTGGCGAATTCGCCAACTTGAACACAGCTCGTTCAATGATTGCTGCAGTCGGGGCCTGTCCCTCCGCCATCTCCAAGAAGTTGAGTTGTCCAGGAACTTGGAATACACAAAAAACACACAAAAATCAAGATGGGACTCAAAAAGCACAACACAAAACAGCTTCCGTGTCGTGCAAAACGTCGTGCGGCGAACATCACGGCGAGGTCTTGTTCAGGTCCGAAGCATCGGTGGAATTTCACCAGGGTTTCTAGTGGAACAACTGAAAACCAGTGGGGTAGTGATAGATTATCCCCATATATTCTATTTGTGATATCATTGTCTGGTTGGTGCTATACCTATCCCTCTGAAAAATGATGGAATGAAAGTCAGTTGGGATTATAAAAAAACAACTGAATGGAAAGTCATAAAATCAAGCCATGTTCCAAACCACCAACCAGTTGTGATATCATTAGGATATCATTGTGATATCATTAAAATATATGTGGAACAGCTAATCTCGCTACACGAAAGTCATTTCCCTCGATTCCCCAGCGTATCGCCCAGCGGACGCATCACTGCCACAGATCTGGTGGTGACATCTGCTTGGAGCGATGATCCCTGCAAGGAACGCAACGCCTGCAGCCGGGAGCGGTTAACCCTCTGGTAAACTGTCCCAAAAAACTATGGAAAATCACCATTTTTAATGGGAAAACTTCACTATTTCAATGGCCATTTTCAATAGCTATGTTAAATTACCAGAGGGTAACCACTAACAAATCGTATTTTTCATTTGAGTTCATGGCATTTCATAGGATCGTTCACGACATTGAATAACTGTGAAGATCATGGGATTCCTGGAATCCAATTGGAATTTTTCACAAGCAACGGAATGACGACTCAAAAGGGCTGCAAAAAACGGGCTGTTCGATGCCAAGTTCTGATCCAAGTGAAGCAGGTCATGGGGAAGCGAAAACCGACATGGGATGACCCACAATTCTAAGATGATTCGATACGAAGATGTGAAGAAATTTGAAGAATCAAATATGAATCACATGTGAATCAGATACGAATCATACAATATATGTACGAAACATATTATATATATATATGATTCATACAGACATTTAAACGGAGATGTACAGACATATACATGATGTATACAGATGTATATGATGTGAATGATCTCAACGAAACATCGCCTCGAGGCCTTGTAGCCACTGCGCAGCACGGACCTGGCGTAACGGCGTAGGGATCACTCGCAACGTTGGAACTCAAAAGTAGCTGCAGTTGCAGCTGAAACCGAGAAAAACATGGCAAAAACATGGCAAAAACGGTATTGATCTGTTGGCATTCTGTTGGCAAAAACTGAGATTTCTCAGTCTTTCCAGGATAATGTGATCCTGCCGAAAAACAAAAAATCATGTCCTGATGGATTTCCCCAACAAAAATGGCCGCAACCAGCACCAGCGAATCGGGTGATGGGAAACCACCATGGTTTACCGCCAGGAGACGCATCCATCCAGCAAGGCGTTGAAGGTCAAGATGCTTGGGGCAAGTCTCAGGACCTCAGCTGCTCCACTGAGGACTCCACTGCTGAGGGATTTTTTCGGACATGTTGGGAGTCAGCGATTCATCATTTAAGTAGCAAATTGGGGGATTTGTTCAATGGAGAAAAAGTAATAACTATAACAAACATTAATTAATGATATTCTGATATTCATATTATATGTATTAATCTGTAGTTACTTAACGATGATTTTCTTGCAAATATACGGCAGTTTCCTGACCTGTTCCCTTCAACCAATCCACTCTCCAACTGATCATCCATGCTGGATTGCTGGGTTTTACCATGGTAAAGCTTTACCGTGGGTAAAATACCCAGCAAAGTCTGCCCCCAAATAAAAAAAAACAGCGGAATGCCAGGACACTACCATGAAATCCAGAAGGTGAACGGCATGAGACCAACGTTCAGCTCGTTCACAGGCACTGATGCCACTGTTCACCTGTAGCGAAGAACCAAACGCAGAGGTGTTTCTCTGAAAACGGGGAATGAAAAAAAACAAATGATGCACCTTTCGGGAAAAAATGGATGATGCTTAGAGTTTGTAGTTTAGGGACTTTTATGGATCATCCTTGTTTTTTCAGTAACTTACTTCATATCACATATATCAAGTTCATGTCCAATGTCCATCAATTTCACCATATTTCACCCCACATCACGGCACTTTTTGCTCCATTTTTGCAGAAAAATCCCCAAAATCCACTGGTAACTGGGGCCACCCAGCCGCCACAGTGTCGGCTTTGGTCATCGTCAGCAGAGCCAGCGATGCTTCCCATTGGAGACCGAAGCCCAAAGCGGTGATCAAGGCACCTCAGGACCAAGGCCATGGCGCCATGGCCACCATGGTACCACGACCGTTATCGTGGCTATAAAATGGCCATGAACTATGTGGAAACATCTGGGGAAAATGTGGAAAAGGATGATGAAATATGGCATGAATAATATGGGATATATGGGGATGGGGGGAAAGATGGGGAAAGTCTTTCCCGCAAAATGTTGGGCGATCCCCATGCCATGTGAAATCGGACAATTCCACCTGGAAAGCAGGAATCCTTGCGCCCTGGGTATCTAAATTAGTGGATTGATGACCATCCCCAAGCATAGAGCTACAGAGTACAGAAGTCGACAACAGTGCAAAGTGAGCATGATATACCCTCTGGTAAACGTTAACAAAAAACGATGGAAAATCACCATTGTTCATAGGTAAATCAACTATTTCTATGGTCAATTCTCCATAGCAACCTGTAAACGTTTACCAGAGGGTATATCATATTAAATCCCATTAAACCACCATAAAATCCCATAAAATCCCATTAAACCACGGATATACTAGTGAACTCTGGGCAACCGCTGGAAAAAACTCACGCTTGCCATCCCACCTACCGAATACAGTTGCTTCATGGGGATTTCCAGCTAAATCCCTCGCCCAATAAATGCGACAACCCCGATAAAAAAAAATTGTCAACCAACCATCATCTATCAACTATATACCCATAGTTTTCATGCTTAAAACCCATACCTTTGGTGGACTTGAAACCTGCCGAAAATATGGTATCATCAACCCTAGTGGATTATGAGAAAAAGAACAAAAAAAATTGTCACCATAGTTTTGATGATAACCCCCATGAAAACAGTATAAATGCTGGTTAAAGTCCGTTACAACCGTACAAATGATGGTTAAACTTGGTTAAACCCCAATTCAAACCTTATAAATGATGATTAAACTCCAACTGTCCAAACATAAAGCGCCAGATCTAAGCGCGGTCGGAAAGTGGCACTCTGCGTCGTGGTGTCGGCATGCCGTCGCACTTGGAAGAGGCCATCGCTTGCAGAGAAACCCAGCAGTTGCAGCGCCAGGTGCCACCTAAAAACGGTCGCAATGGAGTAAGATGATACTGTGGATGGTTGCGAAATCCTACACTCATTGGATTGGTTTCAGGGAAATTTTACAGGGAAGCCCCTTATTTTTTAATGGAAAATCTATGGTTTCCTGAAAATTGTCCCTTCAACCAATCCATTGATGCACAAGATGGTAGCTACTGGTAACTATGAAACATTATGAAACACTGTAAATAATGTGATTATAAACCTGGATAAACCATCTACCAGCTGTAGGATTTCGCAACCATCCAGCGTATCTGATTTCGGGTTCTATGGGGAAACATGAGGAGAACTCATGGGGGTTGAGACATGGCTTCACGGGATTTTTTCAGTTTGACTTTGCAACACAAAATAAAAAAACGGACAATTTATGTCGGCAAATGGCACATCTAAGCGTATTCAACTTACATTTTATGGAGTCTGGTAACCACAACTTCAACTTATCAGTATCTTTCAGTATCTTTCAGTATCTGAAACAGTCCAAGTGTCTTGATTCCGTTGGAACATGCGCTGATCGCTGCATTCACCTAGGCAGCTGCGGAGCGGCAGGTCGGCCCCAAAACTGGGAGGTTGGCCGCCCCAAGTGATATCAATGGGAAATTCAGGATCCTAAAATGGAGGTACTTACCATATATAAGGCCTATTTTTTAAGCCTATGTTTCAGGGAATATCCCCAGAAAATATGGCCAGAAATATGGTACGTTTACGTACCTCCATCTGTTGGATCCTGAAGATCTCCCATTGATGATACCTGCAAGTATCCTCCAAGTCACTGTGATCATGTTGGGCACAATCTCTTCAGTACCTGAGACAAAAAATAGATTTTATTGAATCCGTCATACACTGGTATATGCTCCAAATCTTGTACACTTGCTAGATTGTCTTGGCAAAAACATCATCAAAACGTATTGAAACAAGTACTTGCCCTGGATGACTTGAAAATCTCAGGAGACGCCAAATTCAGGCCACAACTAGTTGGCCGTCGGCTGTCCTCCCCACGATGGCAATTTCTGTTGCAGTTTGGGGTTTTGTCAAATGCATAGATTGAAAGAAAGAAGTGAAAGGAGTTCAAGTTTAAAAAAATCATGAAGTCTAGAAGTCTCAAAATCTATTTCTATGGATTTTCTATGATTTTCTATGATCCCTGTCTTGAAGCTGGATGATGTTGGATGCAACGCGGCTATTCCTTTCAAGCTACGCATCTCTGCTAAGAGTTCCAGGGCTCTTTCCCACTGAAGCGCCTGCAACGACAAAAGCCGCACTGATGTGTTTGGGGTTTTGGCTGGTCGATTGCCACTGAAAGTTGTTTGAACAAACATAATTCAACAAACATTTTCACTTAAACATCTTAAGTTATCTTAAGCTAAAGGGTCTAAAGATGTCTCAAGTGACATCGTGACATGGCCGGCCTTTTCACAGGCACTGATGGCCTCGGCTGTACGGCGAACAGCCGAGTCTCTGGGTATACCGTGAATCATGGGGACTGTCATTTTGTGCCAATTCAAATTAGGCAGTATAACAGTTGTATAACAGTTGTACAACAAAAATATATATAATATATTGTAACCCTACAACCCAAAAAAAAAAGTAAATCCTATAAAATTACCACTCAACAATCGTCTTTTCTTCGCTAAAAAAGGCCGCAGCCGCCAGGTGCTTTCCGCTGAGATACTGCGCTGTAGGAGATCACGTCCAGTTCGATGGAGGCTCCCTTCATCGCCTCCCAGCTATTTGCAGGGAAAAATCCAGGGATTTTGCGGAAAAAACTGGGCCATTTTTCGGGGAGAAAATGAGTCAAAAACCGATGTGAGTTAAAAATTTGATACATAATCCATGGTGCTATTTTTTTGGGGGATACATATCCAGGGTTTGGGGGAAATAAGTACCATGGATGTACCATGGATTA